GATAAGCACTGTTTCAAGGATTCTCAAGTGCCCCAGGCGAGATTCCTTTTCTGCATGCACCCTATGATTTGGATGCCTGTCGCAAACATGCACAGATTTCTGTAACAACGTTTATCTTATTAGTTTATCTCATATTCTCCAAGACTAGCAATTGAGACAACACTCTCTGGACAGAACTCAACAAAGTCCCCTGCACCATTGACCTGACCTGAGGTCCTGCCACACTGAGTTTCAAAGATCAAGAACTGGTATCCAAGCTGCTGACATAAATGTCTCCATTTTTGCTTTTTAAAAACATCCCCTTGTCAAATACATATCATTATTCTCTGGAGAATGTCTGTTATTTAGGGAGAGATTGGTCTTCTTGGTCTAGGACAGGATATTTTCACCAGGCTCTTGGGGATCACTATTGATGTGAATCTCAAGGTCCAGTCTTCTACCACCTGGGCTAAGTCCTGGGAAAACTTGAGGGAAAAATGGGCTTAAGCCCAAAGCAGTGCTGGGTTCTGGGAGTACCTGGTTTCTGGCAAAATGACCCAAGTACAGGAGAGGAAAGCCAATCACATGGGGATGAAACAGAGTTCTGTGTTCCCTTCAACTCCCTCAGCCTGCCCGAAGCAGAGATCCCAAAAGGAAACAGAGTAGTGTGCCTGGGAGGGGCGCCTAGAGGCGGGGCCTGGGTTACCTGGAGACAATGCGGACATCCATCTCCCAGAAGCTGGCTGTGAGCCACACTTCTCCCCTGAGTGCAGTGGGCTCTGTTGCTGCCCATCTACCTCCTAACTCCCGGGCACCTCTGAATCCAACACTCCTCTGTTCTAGGGCCACCCAGGCCAGCACCCATTGCCAGCAATCCGCCAAATGTCATCGCAGCCACCTGCAGGGGACACAGTGCTAAGAGGTAGAGACCACCCAGAAGGGAGAGTGGAGGAGACAGAGCAAAAGAGAGAGGAGCAGGCAAGCTGGGCAATGGAGCCAAGCAACTTGAAGACGCCAGGGCTCAGGAAGGCTCCCCCATCCTGGGGACCCCCATGGGTCACTGGGAGGCCAAGACATGGAGGGGCCCTGCAAGTCTGCTTCCCCTTGCACTGCAGACTGTGTGCTTCCCCAGTGTCCTCACATCCCCGTCACCCTGGTTGTGCCGCTGCTGAGTCAGGCAGGACCTCTCTGTGCCTAACCCTTCTGAGTTCCACACCTCCTGCCAGGGGCAGCAGTCCCCGTATTCCCAGAGGCACCTGCTATGCTTGAAGGCTGCACAGTGAGGTTCCTCTGCCTCAGAGCCACACCCAGTGCAACCCATCTGAAGCAGGAGTGTTGACCCCTCATCACACTCAACCAGAAGCCCCCTGCCAGACTTCCAGTCCCTGGTCACAGCTCGACCACTAGGATGTGGTGGCGTCCTGGGCTCTAGACACTACATACCTGTCCAGACCTTGCCCAGGAGCAGCCTCACCCACCTCCCTAACCTGGACAGAAGAAGGAAACCTATTTCCCAGGGTGGCTGTGAGGAGACTCAAAGCCCCCAGAATTCCTGGGCCTCAAGAGAAATGGGAGCCCCCAGCCTATGAACTGGAGAGAGAAGATGAGAGGCGGGTGCTGGGCAGCCCCCTTGCACTTCCTTCTGCCTTTCCTCACATCCTTCCCTTTCCGGGCTAACTGTTGTTAGTATGGAGTCTGGAGCCAACTAGCCCTGCACTTCCTGTTTTGAGTTACTACCAAAGAATTTCAAATGTAAGCAAGGAATTGCACCAGTGATGTGTCATCCAAGCCAGTCTCCAGCAGCAAACTGTGGTCACCCTAGATCACTGCCTTCAGGCAGGCATCACAGTGTGCCACTGCCTCCTTAGTCACCAGGGATCCCCTGCCCATGGTACTGCTGCCTCAGACTGAGTCCCACAGGCTGCCTGCATCCCATTCCCCACAAGGCAGTAGGCCTTGTAGAATAGTACTCCTGCTGCAAACCCACAAGGAGGCTCACCCTGCGCTCAGGAGGCCACACATAAACACATATACATACACATCTATCAACACAATACACACTCATATACACACAACACACACACACACCTATATACATGTGCAGACACCTACTTAGCCCACTCAGTCTCTTGATGCCTCCTGCTACCACCAGCAAGGACACCCCTCTCATGTGCAGCAAATGGGTTCCAGGGGCTGGACTTAAAGCCAGGGAGTGGCCATCAACAGACAGGCTCTCTGCCAGTAGAACTTGGTCTGGAGCACACAGAAGTTCTGGGCTTCTGCTTACACAGACAGTTTTCTGTTTGGATCTGTTTCCAGTTGTCTGAAACTGCAACATTCCAATATACACAGCAGAAACACCCTCAGTGCAGGCAGAGACCTCATCTTGTTCACTGCTAGAACTCGTCCATGTGAGATCTGCCCCTAGGTGCCCATAAACACTTGTTTAATGAACAAAAGAGTGATGGAGCCTTCAGGGTGAGAGCCCAGGCCAGGCAATTGACAGTGGGTTGGGATGTGCCTCAGAGAGTCTTTGAGGCAAGGCCTAGAAGTAGGATATAGTGGTAGGAGAAGGAAAGATGTAGGGGCTCCAGGTTGCCACTGAACTCATGCCCTGGGCACCCTCTACCTAGCTCTAGGTTGGGTTGTATGGCCTGGGTCAGCAGATGAGCCAAGGGTGGTTCTGCATTCCCCTGCCCAAGCCAGGACCTCAGCCCCTCAGGAAGGGTTTCTAGGACAGGGAAGGGTAGAGCAGTACCTGTGGCCTCCCAGATATGGCCTGTGCCTAGTTCATCCAGTCTTCATCATGGAGACTGCACCAAGACAGTGCCCAGCAAGGAAGGGCTGTCACTCTCCAGGGACAGCACTGTAGATGAGCTCCTTGCCTGCTGTGTCCTAAAGAAAGATAGTTCTGCCTAGTATCCTGTCCTGAGATAAAACCTCATGCAAAATAATACCAACTTTGTAGACAACACTGGAGAGGTCTGGCTGTCCCCTGCACGTGCTGTCACCAGGCATGGGAGAGGGGACGCTTACAAGAGTCTTACACCAGAATGGCCTAATTTATAACTTCAATGTGGGCTAGGAGGGCTGAGGTTAAGGACAAATGTGTGCAGCAGGCTGGCCCAAGGCCCCTAGCACCAGGCCAGAGTCACCCAGGGCAATAGGGGACTGAGGAGCCTGTGACCAGCTTGACCATTGCTACAGAGCTCCACATTTAAAAAAAAATATACAGGTTTTTAGAAGTACAATTCACAAAGCATACAGTTCATCCACTTAAAGTGTACAATCCTGTGAGGTTTAGCATATTCAGAGGTGTGTGACCATCACTACGTTCAATTTTAGAGCTCTTTTTAATCAAATTTAGAACATTTTCATCACCCCAAAAAGAAATCTCATACTCATTAGCAGTCACTCTCTTTCTCCCCTTCTGCAAAACCTTTACAACCACTAATGGATTTGCCTCTTCTGGACCTTTCTTTGATTTTTGTTTGTTTGTTTGTTTGTTTGTGTATGTGTTTTGAGACAAGGTCTTACCAAGTGGTTCAGGCTGGCCTTGAACTTACTATGTAGCCCAGGCTGGTCTCAAACTTGCAGCAATCTCCTTTATCAATCTCCCAAGTTCTGGGATTACAAGGCATGTACCATCACACCTGGCTCCCTTCTGGACATTCCACATATGGATTCAATGATGTGGTCTCTTGTGTCTGGCTTCTTTCACTCTCCCCTAATGTTTTCAAGGATAATCCACATCATACAATCTGTCAGCGTTTCATTCCTTTTAGTTGCTAAACAAGATTCCACTGTCTGGTAATGGAGAGTGTCTTAGTTACTTGTCTCTCATTGCTGAGACAAAATACCCAACAACCAAATTTAAAGGAGGAAAGGTTTATTTAGCTCACAGTTTGTAGAGGTTTCAGTCTATAATCAGCTGACTCCAAAGCAGGGTGGATGGCAAACAGGCATGGCAGAAGAGAAACAATTCATGGCACGCACAAAGTGGCAAAAGCAACAAGGGGCTTTAACAGCTTTTTGTCCCTTTTATGCTCTATCTAGGCTACCAGGATTAGGGTGGTGCCAAACCAATTAGTAGACTGATTTAGCAATCACACACCCTTAATCCCAGCATCACACACTCTAGATTCAGTCATCCTAGGAGGCTTTGGGAGGACATCCAGACACAAACCATAACAGAGGAACAGTGCAGTGGTAGAGTGCTTACTTGGCATGCATGAGGCCTGAGCTCTATAGCCACAATTGTGAGGGGAAATATCCATAGCATGAATTTACCGTATTTTTCTTATTCACCCATGAGTTACTGGATATTTTGGTTATTCCCACTGTTTAGGGCCAGTTTGTTTGTTTTTGGTATTAGGGATCGAACTCTGGACCTTGCTCTTGTGAGGCAGGTGGCAGAACCACTGCGCTAAATCCCCGGCGCTGAAAACACATCTTTATTTTCTGGGTCAGGTTTTTTTTTTTTTTGGTACTGGGAATCAAACTCTGTTCCTTGGGCTTGCAGGGCAGGCATCGGAACCACTGAGCTAAATCCCCGGCCCAACAGTTTTATTTTTATTCCCACTTTTTAACTATCATGAAGAATGCTACTATGAACATTGGTGTACATGTATCTGTTTGACCTCTTGCTTTCAATTTTTTGCGAGTATTTACCTAAGAGTGAAATCTCTGGGTGGCATGGTAAATTACCTGCTTGAGGAACTGCTGGACTAAAGTCAAAGCAGCTCTGCCTTTTCAAATTCTCACATGTGATGCATAATAGTTCCCATTTCTCCACATCTTTCCACCATTTGTTACTTCTTTTCTTTGAGAGCCAGACTAGTGGGTGTAATACTATCTCATGGTTTTGATAGGCATTTCCCCGTGCCTGGGGATGTTGAGCATCTTTTCATGCGCTTGCAGGCAATTTATACATTTTGTGCATGTTTGGAGCGTTATGGAGCTTTAGGTACGAGGTTTCCCGCAGCCCAGGCGAGCTCCAAGGAGGAAGAGACGGGGGCGGCTCCAAGTTAGTTCCGGGAGGGCTCCGAGGACGCGCAGCCACTTCGGGCAGTGGTTTCACTTTTGGGCCCGGACACTCCAGGCTGAGCTCGCGCGCTCTTCCTCCTAGGCTCCTGGGCTGAGCAGGCGTTGAGACCCGTTTCACAGCGCTGCCTCACTTCCTTCGCTTCCTGACCTCTGGCACTGGCACCGCACCCGCGGCGGTCACGGTCACGGTGAGCTGCTCGTGCCTAGCAGGCATTCCCTGTCGTCCTCGTCCTCCCGTCCCGTCCTCCCCCCACCTCCCCGCTCCCCGTGGGGAATGCACCTCTGCTAGGAAGCCCCAGCAACCCCAGACAGGGAGGGGACGCCCCAGATTCTGGGAAGGCTGCCCACTGGCAGGAACAGGGGCTGGCAGGCTGGATTTTGGCCCATGTGGGCCCTGGGGCCTGGGCTCTCTGGGGGCATAGGTGCTGCTACACTTACTCAGAGCTCTGGTGACTGATGCTGGCCGGGTTTGGCCCTGGCCCCTGAGGTCTAAGCCCTACTGGTGGGGCCTGGAGAGGGAAGCCATTCTGTTGTGGGTTCACTCCAGTGAGTTTCCTGCAGGGGCCTACTGCAGCCGGGAAGATTCTGCAGCAGCTTCCGAGTCGCAGGGAGGAAGCATTTGTGGTGACAAAGGTGCTACAGAGGAGGTAGAGGTCGCCTGTATGCGCAAGTAGGAGGGCTCAGGCCAGTGTGCTCTGCCTGGAGCCAAGGTGGTTCATGGAGTTGTGGGCACAGGATGGCCTGGAGGACACTGGCCAGCCTTGCAGTGGGGCCGCATGCCAAGTGCCTGGAGGTGGGCTATCTGCTCCTCAACTCTCTGAGTTCCTCAGCTAGGGAAGGGCTGCCACAGGAATCAGGACTGCTCACCATAGCTGCCCCAAACTTGTTGGGCTGACAAGGTAGGTAGCCCTCAGCTGTGAGGGGTGAAGGGCTCCCTCCAGTCCCAGTGGCCACACAACATTGGTGTGGATGTCTCGAATCCTGCTGAGGGCTGTGAGAGATGTCCCAGCCTGGAGTGTTCTGGCCCAGCCAGACAATGGATCAGGTACAAAGTGTACAATGTTTCCAATGTTTCTTTCTGTGTTGGGGGTGGGGGGCTTTTTGCCAGCCAGAATGTGTCCCAGTACTATCTGGGTAGGGACATGTATTAGTCAGCTTTCCCATCACTGGACAAAATACCTGACACCTGAAATTTAAAGAAATGAAACTATTTTGCTCATAATTTCAGTCCACGATCGGCTGGCTCCAGGGCAGGGACCTCAGGACAAAGGGCATGGAAGAGCAAAGCTGCTTAGTTCATAGTGGCCAGGAAGCAGAGCAGGGGAATAGAGGAGAGACAAGGAACTAGGGACCACTTGGACCCTAAGGCCATGCCTCCATGACCCACCCAGACACACCTATAAGTGTGTTTCACCAATCCCCAGGGCAGATCCCAACTAACAAGTCAAGTTGCAGCTCCCAACAGCCACAGACCACTTTGAAAGGACCGAAGTCCCCTGCATTGGAGGCATCTAAGCACTGACTGACCCATCTGCCCTCCTTAAGAGAATGCCTTCGGCCTTTGAGAGTGTGGTCCAGAGTGTAGTCCGTGAGCTGGACCCCAGGAGGGAGCTCATCCCAGTGGACAGCCTTCAGAACTCTGCCAACTTCCGGCCCTATTACCTGGTGAGAAGGAAGCCCCCAAGCTCACGGTTCTGGAAACCCCGTTACTTGTGTGTCAACCTATCAATCAAAGACATCCTGGAGCCTGATGCCCCAGAACCAGGTACCCAAACTCATGTTGAGACAGAGCCCCCACTGGGCCAGGTAGAAGGAAGTGGGCCATGTCCTCTACACTGGAGATGGGACAAGGCCATAGCCAGTGGGACAGAGCCTTAAGTCTAGTCTTGCTTTAGATTTGGAGCATGGTAGCACCTTCCACTTCTTTGATACCATCGATGGGAAGATGCAGGGCAACATGGAGGTGGCAGTCCCAGGACAATGGAAAGTCTCAGGTGGGGCTGCAGTGTCTGGGAGCTCCAGCACCTCAATGAATGTGCGCACCCTGAGCGTGGACCCAAACACCTGGGATCACATGCAGCAGGAGAGGTGAGCCCCTGAGGGGACAAGGGGCCTCTGAACCAGAGTAGCTGTATTCTTGAGAAGGCCACAGAGTCATGAGCATTAGGACAGTTCCCAGACACCAAGCACCAAGTGAGGAAATCCCAGAGTCAAGGGAGTGCTGTGGCTGACATCAGGGAAGAAAAATACAGGGGCTAGTTGCCAGTAGTGAGCCCGAGGCAAGGCCAGGGTGTGTGGGCAGAGCCTGGGGCCTGGGGATGGACTGAGCCACAGGCTGCTGTGAGAAAGGAGTGGCAGGGACATGTCCTGATAGAGAGTAGAGTATGGATGGCACTCCTAGGGGCTCACATGTCTCCTTGCTGGACCTCTTCCCACCCCCTCATACCCACGGAGACACCATCAGGAGCGCTCAGGGAGTATACCTGGTATCTGCAGACTCCTGGATGGCCTCCCTGCTTGCCCCTACTGGTGGGGCCTGGAGAGGGAAGCCAGTTTGTTGTGGATGCACCCCAGTTTGTTTCCTGCAGGCGGCTGAGGCAGCCAGAACACAGGATTCTGCAGCAGCTTCGGAGTCGCAGGGAGGACGTGTTTGTGGTGACGAAGGTGCTGCAGACCCAGGAGGAGGTGGAGATCATGCGTATGCGCAAGCAGGAGGGCTCAGGCCACTTTGTTCTGCCTGGACCCATGTGCTTGAAGGTGTGTGGCCATGCCTGGAACCTGCCTGGCCCCCTGTGGGCACATGGCAGCAGCAGGAGTGGGAGAGGCTAGGGCAGCATCCCAGGGCTCAGGCAGCAGCAGGGCTGGGCTCTACCAGGACCCTTCTAGGAGGAGCTCACAGCTCCACACTTGACCAGTGACCCAGAGTTGCCCAAAGGCTGAGTTGGCCACCACCAATGCCAGGGCTGTCACCAGCACCCAACCAAACCCATGCCTATAACCCTGTACCATACCCAGAACACAGTCCTGAACCTGTATCCATCCCTCAGGGTGATGGCGAGGGCCACTTGATGTGGGAGAATAAGGTCACCATCCCTGCAGGCAGTATCCTCGCATTCCAGGTGGCCCAGCTGGTCATTCGCTCTGACTGGGGTGAGCGGGGGACTGGGTATATCTCTGGGGCCCCAGCTCTGTGGCAGAGGCAGGAGGCCTGAGGTGGGGGGGGGGGAATCTGGGTACACGCTGTTCAGGTCAGGGGGCCAAGCACCCTGGACTCTGGTGTGTAGGTGATTGGGCAAGGCCTTCACTTGGCAGGGGAGCCCCTTGGGTGGAGGCAGCCCAATGACCTGCCTCTCCCTGTGTGGTCCCACTTGCTGCCAGATATCTTTCCCTTCCCGGATGAGAAGCAGAGGACCTTCTTACCATCCCCCAGAGGTAAGGCCTGAGGATCCCTAGCCCAGCCTGTCCAGTGGGAGAAGCTTGTTCCTTTCACCATTGAGGTCTTCTTCCATGCTCAGGGAGCAGCATGGCTGGGTAGCCTCCTGAGGGGCTGGGCACTACATACAAAGTGTGGTAGTCAGATGATGGTGGGCCTGCTTGGCCTCCTGCCTGTCCTGGGCTGCCAATGTTGGGGGTGGGGTGGAGGCTAGGAGGGCCCAGGGAAGCCTCAGTCCTCTCCTGCTCAGGGACCCTCCTCCCAGCACTGAGCAGCCCTGTCCTCCCTCCACATCTCACATCCTCCCCAGGCAGCCAGCCACAGAATACCTTCAGCCTCTCCTCAGTGTTGAGGGCCATCAGTGATTCCCTCAAGCTCCTGACAGGTCAGTGTCCCTTGACCACTGCTGGGACCCCCATGGCCTCTCCTCCATGGGTCTGCCATTCCTGACCAGGACTCTCCATGCAGATGGGATCTCTGAGGAGTCAGTGGTCACAGAAGAATTCCAGGTCCTGCGGACAGAAGTGGAGGCTGGCTCTGCAGCACTGCGGAATATGGCAAGGGACCTGAGGCAGCAACTGCTGCTCGACCTAGGGAAAGTCCTGTGTGACCCGCCAGCCCTACAGGACTTAGAGGCCTTGGTAAGTGGGGTTTCAGGGAGCAGGGGCCCAGGATCTGTCCCAACCAGCTCAGACTTACTACCCCCTCTACCCCAGTTGGCACAGGGCCTGTGTGGCAACGGGCAGGTGAAGCCTCTAGAGGGTCCAGCAGGTGACATCCTTGAATGCCTGGTGCTCCCCTCCCAGGTGCTGGTGCAGGCACTCGCTGCCCCTGTCTTTTACCTGCTCGGGGCGCTGACTGGTGAGTAGTACCTGGGACGGGTAGATATATATAGCACAGGAGGAAGGACTGGGTTCTCTGCTGGGACTTCCAGAACACCCTCTCAGCCCAGGTCTCTCCCCAGCACTAAGTGAAACCCAGCAACAGCTGCTGGCTAAGCTGCTGGACAAAGGGGACCTGTCGACACAACTTGAGCTGGTGAGAAGACACAGTGTGGAGGATGGAATGGGGCCCTGGGTGCATCTGAAGAGGATGGTATGGACAAGTGTCTCATGCCCAGGGGCTCACAGTTAGTGCTCCCATGTCCACAGCCTCATACCCTGTTCTGACAGGTAGAACACCTCTTGGAGCAGAGCACCCCATGGCAAGAGCAGAGTGATGTATCCCTGTCCCCCAAGCTCCTTGGGAGTAACTGGGGAGAGGAGGCACCAGCCTGGGCCTTGCTGGAGAAATGTGGCCTGGAGCTGCAGGTGGGCGCCCCCCAGGTACACTGGGAGCCACAAGCCCAGGGTCCCACCTGTGCACTCTATGCTTCCCTGGCACTGCTGTCAGGCCTGAGCTGAGTGTCCTGCTAGCCTGTGCCCACTGTATAGCAGCCCCAGGAAGACCAAGAGTCCAACTCAACCATAGGGCCAGTTCACCATGACACCCAGAACTGAGGAAACTCAATAAATGGAATGTACATGTGCTTGCTTCAGCAGCACATATAATAAATGTGATGTACAATGGAAAATGATCACTGAGTTTTTGAAGGGCCATAGATCAGGGTAGGGTGGATATGGGTGGAAACTGTGTCCATGCAAAACTGGAAGGAACGTGGGGGCCAAGAACAGCCATCTCCCCCATCTTTCTCTGTGAGGCTGAGGAGAGCCTGCTCACGGATGTCCCCATGCCCCCAGCCTCTCCAGCACACTTGCTTGCCTGTGAAAGATGGGCAGAGCAATTATGGGAGACAGCTGACAGGCAGATGCCCAGAACTCCAGGGCCACACAGGGTCTCCTAAAGCAGTGATGACCCATCCTATAGAGACAGAGATCAGAGGCCTCCCAGCCCCTGCCTTTTGGGTCCCTAGAAAGTCCAGGTTGCAGGGCACAGGTGAGACCACTTCTTGTAGGACTCAGCAGCCCATCTGCTCTGTGCCTATGGAGAGATGTGCATAATAGATGTAGCCAGGGTCTTATGGCCACCCCTGAACACTTAGATGCCAAGAGGGTGTCTTTTTTGTTTTTTTGGAACCAGGGATCGAACTCGGGATCTTGTGCTTGAGAGGCAGGTGGCAGAACCATTGAGCTAAATCCCCGGCCCCAGGAGGTTGTCTTTACTTGATAGGGAGTGTAGTCCACCTGCACAGTCTCTCTCAGGCTGGTGGGAGGTAGAGGAAATGGTGTACCCCCTTCTGTCCTGAACACCACTGACATGCAGTTTGGAGGAGTTGCTAACAAGGAGGGACAGTATGTTCTGCTATGCCACAGTATTAAAACTCCAAGAACATCTAACAGTGGAATTAATATTGAAACAAAAGGCAGAATACACTGCAACTATGTCAGATCCAGGTTACAGAGCCCTGGAAATTAATCTCCATGTATGTTGAAGGAGCCCTCTCAGGTCTGCAGTCCTCCTTTGAAAACCCTCTTTGAGGTCATTTGAAAGCACAACCAGGGTGAATGGGATGGCAACAGCCCAGGCCTTAGAAAGCAGTGAATAGGTAGGCACCACAGCAGCATTTCTGAAGCCCCAAGACTTCCTGCTGTAAGCAGGTCCTTCCAGCCCAACCAAGCCCCTTTTGCAGGGTCCAACTGTTGGCCCTTGAATCTGGGACCATCAGTGAGATCTCCAGCAACAGGGACTGTGTGAGAGTAAATGGACACCGGAGTAAAACCAGCTGGCTGTATGGCAGGGCCCTGTGTGGAAAAGGAGTGCATGTGTTGGGGTGCAGCCATCCTCTGGTCCTCTGAGCCTCAGCCCCAGCTGGAAGGTTTACCGTGGTTCACCTCTCTGCAGGTGAAGGTGATAGGCCGGGGTCCTGGAGCTATGGCATCCCCACCTAGAGGCCAGGCCACCTGTGGTTTCCCTGCAATTCCAGCACAGAAGTTTCAGTGCAGTCACATTCCCAGAGGCCATATATACTTTATGTGAACCTCACATTTTGGGAGGGAGTCCAGTGTGGCCACCAACTACTGGGCCAGGTCTAAGGCAGGTGGGATGGGCATGTACACAGAGCAGGCAGATGTGCAGGACAAGAAGACAGGCTCCAAGCAGCCGTCCAAAGGACAGTGTGTGAGCTCTCCCCAGCACCGTGGAGTTGAGGTTACAGGGTGCTGCCTTGTTCACCATAGCTGCCTCCCCACCTGAGCCCACATCTGAGGGTGGACTCTGAGGCACTGTTGAGTTTGCCCACTGGATGACTCAGCCATACTGTGGGGTGCAGATAAACCTGTGCTTGATGGAGACTGGGTGTCACATACTCAACTTTGGGATCTGCGAGAAGGGTGAGAACAGGTTTCTTTTCTCTTGGGGTAGAGAGCTGCTCCTGAGGGGATCCATTTGGGCTGTGTCCTGACACTCAGCCCTACATGTGGGTGACTCCTGGACAGGTGGCCACCTTGAGAACTGAAGGTCATCATGCCATGCATATCTGCAATATTTCCACCCAGCCTCCTCCTCCTCCTCCTTCTTCTTCTTCTTCCTCTCTCTCTCTCTCTCTCTCTCTCTCTCTCTATCTGATTAGCATCTCCAGCATTTTCCCATTTTGGCATCTGCTGCATTTTTTGTTGTTTGTTTGATTTGGGTTTGGGGTTTGGTTTGGTTTGGTACTGGGGATCGAACTCAGGACCTTACAAGTACGAGGCAGGCACGGTGCCACTGAGCTAAATCCCCACCTTGGTTTTTGTTTTTTTGAGACAGGGTCTAACTATGTATTCCAGGCTGGCCTTGAACCCACTATGTAGCACAAGCTGGCCTCTGACTTGAAGTGATCCTCCTGTCTCAGCCTCCCAAGTGCTGGGATGATAGGCATGTATCACCATGCCCGCCTTAGCATCTGTTTTGGAAGATCCAAACTAATATGCTGATCCTTGCCCCTGGCTCCATAAAGACCTAGGCCCTTGGCCTGACCCTAATCTGCTCTGAGAACCACCTGTAAAGAGACCCTAATGCCAGTCCTGTGTTGGAGTACAGTTCAGCTTGTCCTCTGTCTCAGGTTAAACCCAACCTGATCCTGGCCAAAGCTTGTGGCCTGAGCTGCCTGACCTTGAACCTGCCACCAGGTAGACCTCTGGCTGCACAACACCTCACCTGTTCCCCTAGCTGGAGCCAGATCTTGGGTCTGGTGTACTCAGCCTAAGCACATTCTCAGACAATCTCCTGCAATCTATGGGTTTTGATATTTTATTTTAAACACTTTTCCATGGGGTACAGGAGAGATGAGGTGAGCAGGACTCCATGCCTGCCCCTAAGGGCCCCCAGTATAGGGGAATGGTCCACACCTTCACAATGAGCCCTTGAAAGTTGAGAGAGTGTCTCAATGCAGGCCTTCTGGGTGAGGGAACCTGCCCAGGCAAGCACTCAAAGGAGTGAGGTCACAGCTTTGGCTTCGTCCCACCGTTCCCACTCAGCCCTGTGCAGGGTGCTGAGTGCTGCCACCCCTGCTCACAGTCTGGTATGGGGTGCCCACTCCCCGTGCCTCAACCCCGTGGTGTACTCTTAGCTTGTGCTGTCCAGCAGGAAGGGATTCTAAACAAGGTCAGAGGAGATAGGAGGTGATCTGGCCAGCAGAGGGGGACAGCAGTTGTGGACAGGAGGGCAGGTCAGTGCCTCTTAAGCCCAGGAGCCATGAGCCAGAAGAGCAGTCGGGAATAGCAGAGAAGTCAAAGAACAGGGCGATGTCTGGTGGTAAGGAAGACTTTGACAGCTGCAACAGCCAAGGCCAGGCAGGAGGTATAGGCCCAGGAAGGGGGCCGGGCCTGTGGTGCCACCAGCATCACAGTGTCTCCACCAGATCCTGGTTTGGGAGGCGAGAGGCTGTGCAGACCAGGTGCCAGGCCCAAGTTCTTTCAGGGAGCAGGGAAAACAGGTCCGGCAGGGAGAAGGACCCAGGGGTCAAGAGGGGAAGGGCTCAGGATGAAATGGTGTCAGCTGTCCCTCTCCCATACTGTCATATAGTGGCCCCTAGAGGGCAGTCCCAGGACAAGGGCCTGGCGTCCAGCACCAGGCTCAAGGGACCTCAGGTAGAGCTGTTACACAAGTCTTCTGCTGTGAGGACCAGCGACCATGAGGATGCATTGCCTGAGTTAGAAGCTGGGCATCAGTCCAGGTGAGCAGGGTCCGTTGCAGCCCCACCGGCCTTCAAGGCACCGGCGCTGGAATGGGCTGTCAGCATAGCATGGTGTGGGCCTGGCCCAGTGGGGGTTTCGAGAGATCAGGCGCAGGAGGAGGCCCTGCCTCGGTTGGCCCTGTGCATGGGCCAGCAGCGCCACCTGCTGTGTGGACACGTGTGCTGCGGCAGCCACTGCAGGTTCTGGGTCGCTCTGCAGCTGCCCTAGGTCTGAGCAGGGCAGCAGCTCAGATCATGAAGGGTGGGAGGGGCACCCTAGCCTGGCCCTGATCTACTTACTCCCCTCCACTCTCCCATAGCACCACCACTTTTCTAGGACCCCACACTCAGGCATGTTGGGTTCTCACCCTGGAACAGGGAGTCCAGCAGATCCTGGTTGACGTGCGTAGGGCTCGCATGATAGACCAGGAAGCCTGGACCAAAACAGATCTGTGAGCTCTAGCCTCATGCCCCAGAAGAGAGAGGCTGATGCAGCTTTCAGAGCCTTGCTGCAAGGGACTAGCACCTCAGGACTGCCTCACCTAGAAGCACAGTGGCAGCCCGGCGCAGCGGATCCTGTGGGCTCCTCAGGTAGCCCTGGGTCTGGCTCAGGAAGCAGGGGATTTGGCTCGGGTATCGCTGGACCTGGGAACAGAAGGGTCCATACCAGGATAGGAGGGGTAAGCCTGCCTGGAAAGGAGGGTACAAAGGTATCTCCAGGAACTGGGGTCCTCTGGGGAGCCTCAGGGCAGGGGAGCACAGACCGAGGCTGTGGATCTGCCCCATCAGGAGCATGGTGGCCAGATTTGGCTGTGGTGGAGGGGTACTGGCCTGTAGAATCCTGGAACAAGTGAGCACCTGACCACACTCCCTCACACCCCCTCAGTGCTTCCTCTACTGACCAGGCAGTGGCAGACACGGCTTAGAGCCTCCGGGCTGTCGTAGTGAGCCACAGTGACCATCTCCTCCAGTAAGCCCCAGCGAAAGGCCTTATCACAGCGGGCCAGGGTCCACTCTGAACTCTGGCATAGGGGAAGGGAGCAGGATTAGGGATTCAGAAAGTAGCAAGAGCTGGAAGGAAGGAGTTATGGCTAGGAGGAAGGTAGGAAGTACCCAGGGCAGGGGTCTTGAGTACAGTGGCCTGAGGGAAGACTAGAAACCTGGGAGCCTGAAGGTCCTCCCGGGTATCCTTGACCTGTAACCTGGGGAGGGGCAGTAGGAGGGACGGGGAGGTGTGCACGGGGCAGCTGACCTCGGCAGTGTCTTGGCTAGGGTCGTGCAGGCGCAACAGCAGTGGCACGAGACTCTGCAGCACCAGCTTCCGAAGGGGGCCATGAAGTCCCACCCGGAGCCCGCCCTGGCCCCGCCGAACCAGCGTCCCCAGGAGCCCAACTGCGGAGGCGCGGACCGAGTCCCGGGCCTGCGAGGAAGAGTACAGTCAGGAAGGTGGAGAGAGAGAAGGGTACCAGGGTGGAAGGAGCAGTTCGGGAGGGAGCCGGAGAAAAAGCCTGGGAGAAGGCAGAGAGGTGGGGCTGGGAGAAGGCAGAGAGGTGGGGCTGGGAGAACTAGGGGCTGGGAGCGGCTGGGGGTGGGACGACAGGAGCCAGGGCGGGGCCTTGCTTACGTCATCCAGGAGGGGCGGGAGGCGCGGTCTCAGCTGCCAGCTCAGGAGCCGCACCGGCGCACCCGGCTGTACCAGTACCCTTCGCAGTGCACCGAGCGCTGTGCCCACGAGCCGCACATCGCCCTCGCCCAGCGCGCCCAGCAGCGCAGGCAGCAGAGTGCTCATGTGCCGTACCTGTGGGGATTGGGTCTGGTGGCCATCCCGGGCAGACCTCATCCTACTCCCAGGCCAGCTCCCTCTCACCTTCCTGCAATTCAGTGCCAGGTGGCGGAGGCCTAGCAGACCCAGCCAGCGCACCGTGGGCTCGGGGTCTCTCTGCCAGGTGCGAAGCCGCTCCAAGATGATGTCCTCCCGCAGTAGCCGTGCAGTTGGCCGGCTCTGCAGCAGCTGGCAAGGGACATGGAGTCAGCATGCTCTTGGTCCCTGAGTGGGCCAGGGCCACTTAGGGTTCAAGTAAGCGGCCACCCCTCACCGCTTTTCTGGGAAGTGAGCTCACCCCAGTGAAGAAAGCCATAGCCGTGAGGCGCTGTGAGTTATCCGTGCTGCGCAGCCGGGGAAGCAAGTCTGCGAAGAGGCCTCTCAGGTGGTGGTCTGCATGTGCTACCATGGCACTGGGATGAGGCAAACAGGAGCTCTCCCTCGACTTGGTGGCCCTGGAGAAGCCCCCCACCTCATTCCCTTGCCTTGCACCTGGTCAACAGCAAGCCTCCTCCAGGTGTGCCCTCTGGAGTCCCCCCTCACCTGGCCAGCAGCAAGACACCCTCCAGGTGGGTGTGGGCTCCTGCCAGTCTCCTCCAGCCTCCTGCCTGCTCCATACATGTGACCACCATGCGGCCACCATCTCCAGTGAGCAGGGCCTTCAATGCCTCCACTGTGCAGCTGAAGTGGGAGGAGCAGCAGGTGAGTGGACAGTGAAGGCCAAGAAGTTGCTGGCCCATTCTCCACTTACCCAGTGTCTTTTCTCACCTGGCGTGGCTGTGTGGTGGCCCTCTGTGGGACAGGACCCAAACCTTAGGACTTTCAGGAGAGCACCCATCATGAGCCAACTCATGTAGCTGTGTGACCAGTGCCAGCAGCAGGTGTGGGTAGAAGCCTCGTGTGGCTCCCACACAGCCTGATACAGCCAACATCTCCCCGAGGGCACGTGTGGCCTGTGGAGCAAGCAGTCCACTCAGGCTTGAGCTGCACTGGGGGCCAAGTCTAGCTCCAGAGGGGAGGACACCAAGACAAGGTGAGAACAAAACCTAGAGGGAGCTACATGGTTCACACTTAACTCACCCCCCACCTGGGCTAGCTGGAGCCACTCACCGCCAATGCCTCGGGCTCAGGCCTGGAAGCCCCCTTCAGTGCCCACAGCAGTTGCACCAGCACCTGCCCATTTACACGCTGGTTCCGACTTAGGCTGCGCCACAGCTCGGCTGATGCCCTAGGGACAGCATGAGACAAGGGTTGGGTACAAGGCCAGGGTTGGGGAGCTGCTGGACTCCAGCAGGGTGAAGGAGGCAAACCACCTATCCCCCTTCCCCCCAAGTCCCAGAGGAAGTAAGTGGCAACTGTGAAGACCACAGCAGAGCTATATCCACAGGGTCAGCTACCAGGTGGTGACCCTCCTGAAGTCCTGTCAGGTCAAAGACAGTGAAAGAGATCTTGTGTTATTTGTTGTTGTTGTTGTTATTGTTTGTGTCTCCCCTCACCACCAGAGATCAAATTCAGGACCTTGCACTTTCGAGGCAGGAGCGGTGCCACTGAGCTACATCCCTGGCCCAGCTCTGCATTATTTTTAAAAACATATCACTATAGGGCCGGGGATGTAGCTCACTGGTTTCACCACCTGCTGCACAAGTGCAAGTTCCCAAGTTTGGTCCCCGGTACCAAAAAACAAAACAAAAAAACAACAATAACTTCTCTTTGGGCAAAATTAAGCAGAGCCAGCAAAAGAAACCATCAGAGTGAAGAGACAAATAGTGTGGGGAAAAAAATTTTCCCAGCAGTTCCTCAGACAAAGGATTCTAATATCTAGAATATATAAAGAGGGCTGGGGATTTAGCTCAGTGGTTTCACCATCTGCCTTGCAAGCACAAGGTCCCAAATTCGATCCCTGGTACAAAAACATATCAGGGCCGGGGATTTAGCTCAGTGTTTTCGCCGCCTGCTACGCAAGCACAAGGACCTGAGTTCAATCCCCAGTACCAAAAAAAAAAAAAAAAAATCAGATCCCCGCCCCCAAATTTAAAGATCTAATCCAAAAATGGGCATCTGAAATGAACAGACACTTCTCAGATGAAGAAATAGAAACAGCAAATAAATATATGAAAAAATGTTCAACATCACTAGTCATTTGAGAGATGCAAATTAAAACAACACTGATTCCACCTCACTCCAGAAAAAAATGGCTGTTATCAAGAAATCAATAACAAATGCCAGAGGGGGAAAGGAACCCTTCTCCTCTATTGGTAGGAATGTAGACTGGTGCAACTACTGTGGAAATCAGTGTGGAAATCTCTCAAAGAACTAAAACTGAAGGCTCCGCTTGACCCAGCTATCGCCCTTTTAGATATCTTCCCAAAAGAATTAAAAGCATCCTACCACAGCAATATATGCACACCCATGTTTATAGCAGCACAATCTAATAGCTCAATGTTGGAAACAGCCCAAATGCCCATCAACTCATGAATGGATAAAGAAGATATGGGGTTTTTTTTATACAATGGAGTACTACTCTACAGTAAAGAAAAAGGAGCTTCAGACATTTCTAGCTAAATTGATGCACCTTGATACCATACTCTTAAGTGAAATAGGGCCGGAGATTTAGCTCAGTGGCACTGCACCTGCCTGGCAAGCACAAGGTCCTGAGTTTGATTCTCAATACCAAAAAAACCCAAAAAAAGTTAAGTGAAATAAATCAGATGCACATTTAAATACCTCATTGTTTCTCTGGTGTGAGAAACTGACTGAAAGTGGAAATAAGGACTAAAATGTATAATAAACACTGGGAAATGGGAAGAAAATGTTCAAATGAGAAGGGGAACAAGGGAGGGGGAGGGAGAAAGGAAAGAAGGGACAAGAAAAAAAAATAGAAGGAAAAATGGAAACAAAGCTTTTGTAAATAAAGAGGGGAAGAAGAGTCGAAGGGGGGAAATGGGAAAAAAGAAGCAGCAAGATATGTATAGGTACAAATTTCCTATGATGAATGTTATAGATAGATAGATAGATAGATAGATAGATAGATAGATATAGATATAGATAGATATAGATATAGATATATAATGTACCAATAAATGTTTTGCTAAAAAAAAGAGGGCCGGGGATTTAGCTCAGCGGTTCTGGCACCCGGCTCACAAGCGCAAGGTCTGGTGTTCGATCCCCGGTACCCAAAAAAAAAAAGAGAGAAAGAAAAAGAAAGAAAGCAGAGCAGAGGCATCCACGTGCCTGTTTGCTCACCCTGACCCAAAGGGCAACCCCAGGCTGGTCCTCAGGGCTACTCCTCTTTCCCACCTCGAGCCCCTCCTCCCAGGAGATGGCAGCCCCAAGGCAGGACCCCAGCATCAGTGATCTGGAAACTGGAGGGGCCGTTGCTGAGCTAAAGGGAGCGTGGATGGGAGGCAGCAGTTGAGGGGAGGGAATTTTGAGGCTCTATACCATTACAAGCCCCTGTGTGTGGTTGCAGACTGCGGCCAAGCGGGAAGAAGGAAGGAAGCTGCGTGGGGCCGCGGGGCAGTAGGCGGGGCAGGTTACCGGTCCAGGGGCAGCGAGCGCGGCAGCAGTGCATGCACCACGTCCTGGGCGTGCTCCAGGGCCAGTGCACTAAGCACTCGCAGAGCCGCCCTCCGGGACCTCCCTTCAGCCAGGTTGGGCACCTGCACCAGCAACCCGCGCACTAAGGCATGCACCTGGGTAGAGAGAACAGACGCCAGCAGTCAGGTCCCCTCAGTCCTGGAACTGATCCTGGAAAAAGCCAGCACCCCACCCCCCACCCCACACCCTGAATAGGGCGTGTGTGCCAGTCTGCAGGATCCAAGCCCCTGTCTTGGAGGGCCACCCACAGTAGTCTCAAGGATAGAGAGGGAGTGGGGACTGACCTGGTCCTCCAACTTCTCCCCTCTGGCCTCCAGGGCTGAGGACAAGGTGAGTGCTGTGGCCTGGGTCCCAGCAAAGCCAGCCTCCTCCAAGCAGGCAGCCGTGTACAGGGCCAGGTCGGCGAGGGCGCCCTCCTCCAAGGAACGCTGGGGGGCCCAGGGCAGGGTGGGTAGAGTATATTAAGTCACAGTGCCTCCCCTGGCTCTCCTCCCCAGCCCTCCCAGCTTGCTACAAAACTCCACACCCCTGCATGTTTTCCAGTCCATTTTATCCTCTAGTATCTTCCCCCAGCCTTCACCACTCACCTTGCCAGGTCCCTCAAGGACTGCCTCCTGAGCATTGTGCGGGGAGTAGGGCTCATTGCTGGCTGTGGGGGCAGTGGTCCCACTTCCAGGCTCAACCTCAGAGGCAGTGGTGTCAGCCTGGACCTGGGGCTCAGCCTCAGGTTCAAGTTCCTGGGGCTTGGGCTGAGAGCTGGTGGAAGGGGGTCCCAGGGGCTGCCCCTGGCTGGCCCGGATCCCTTCAGCAACAGCTGTCAGGGTTAGGGCCCCTACAGCAGCCCCCTGGCCCCGGGCCCTGCCCCACACACCACCAGCCATGGTGCCCCAGAGAGCAGCATCTGCCACTGCTCCTCCCAGGAAGTCCTGCCCAGGCAGGCCTGACCTAGAAGCAGGCCCCGGGCGGGCCCATAGGCAGACGTGATGGCGTGTGCTTGCGTGCCTGTGTGAGCACGTGCCAAAGAGTGGTTGGGGAAACATGGAATCATCCCGGCATGGGCTTATCACAGGACCCCTGCTCAGGCTGCTGGATGTGAATGGCTGGCCTGAAGCCAGGGTGTCTGTAGTCTGGCTGTCTACATACAGGGCAGAGAAGGCAAATCAAGACAGGGAAGGGCCCTGAACCCTAACATCCAGCCTGTCTTGCCTGGGTCCCAGGGCAGCTGCGTATGGCTCTGACGAGGTACCAAAAAGGTCAGGAGCTGGGCTGACATCCCTGCATTCTGGCCCGGCCAGATACCTGGGTATGGGCATGAGTGGGTGGTTGCTGTTTCCATCTCTGAGCTTGGGGCATCCCTTTCAAGTGCTTTTGCAGGTCCCCACCACTGTGGGGGTGGGTCCATCTGGGTGCCTGGGAATGCATAGTTGAGATGGTTTGCCCTGAGCCTGTCCAGGCTCTGTGTGCTGATGAGTATGTATCTGTATTTCCCTCCAGGGTCATGCTCCCCAGGGCTGGTCTGATTAAGCTTCTGCCCTAAATCTCCACCCTCCACCCTCACCAAGCCACATAATGGGCACTGCCCATCTCTGAGTTGAGGAGCCAGATGAGCTGGTCTGGTGGAATACCTGGCCAGGTGGATTGCTCCTAGAAGCACCCCAGGAACAGCATTCATTCCTCCTATGCCCTTATTGGCTTGTGGACCTCAGGCTGCCTGGATAGGGAGACCCAGGGCCCAGCCAACTCCTGCCAGACATACAGCCCCCTCCTAAACAGTTCCTTTGTACCCTAAGATCACTAGCTTCTTGTACAGAAGCAGGATCAGCCCCCACTGAGCCACCTCTTGGAGCCACTTTCTTGGGCTCCTAGGTCAGGAGCTGAGGCCCCAAGGCCAGGGCCTGGCCTGGGGCCCTGTTTGGACCCTGCCTGATACCCCATTCCACACTGGGGACCCTGGCAGGGGAGGGCTTCTGCAGTAACTCCCCCAACTCTGAGGCAGACTCCTAAGCCCGCCCTGTCCCTGTGGCCCTGCTGTTCAGCCTCAGATCTGGTCCCCATAGCCCAGGCTGGGGAGAGGCTGGGAGGCTCCCACCTAACTCTAGTGTGACCCCGGAGGGCCCAGGAGGCCAAGTGAGCAACAGACTGGATGAACAAATGACACATGACAAGTTGTGGGGACAGCAAGTGACATGTTATTTCCAGGCAGTCCCTTCCCATGCAATTCTCATGGGGCACCTTGGCTACTCAAACTATCCACCAGGCTTCGAAGCTTCTCAGAGAGTGCAACCTGCAGGGAGGAGAGAAGGAGGCTGGTGGGCAGCTATGGGACAGAGGACGCAAGGGCAGCCCACTCCAGGGCCTGTGCCCACCTGGTATAGTGCAGGGTTCTGAAGCTGCCTATGTGCAGGGCTGAGGCGGCTCAGGGACCACTGGGCAAAGGCTCTGGACTCTGTCAGAGATGGAAGCGGCTCACATAGCTGCAAGAGAGGGAAGGAGGAGGCAAGTGGAGAAGCTGGCTCAGGCCAGAGCTTAGTCAAGTTTGAAGGGGAGGAGTGCTGGTGTGATGTGTGTGGGTGGGTCACCTGTCCTTGTTGCAGCCAGAGTTGCAGTAGTGGCTCCACCTGGGCTGGTCTCACAGTGCAGGGCTCCTGGGCACCTCGAGGCCAAACCCTCAGGTCCTGCCCAGCCTGAGGCGGTGGCTCTTCTGCCAACTGCAGCAGGTCCAATAGCAGAGACCCTGTGTGTGTAGGGGAGGTGAGCGAGTTGAGCCCTTGGAGGCCAAGAAGGGTACAGAAAGGGACTCACCATCAGAGGCTAAAAGCCGGAAGGCGGCCTTGCTCCCTGGCAATGTCTGTTTGTCAGGGTCCTCAGTCAGCTTCATTCGGGGCTGGCCACCCACAGACACCAGCTGCAGAAAAAAGGTGTCAGAATGGACAGACCCTGTCCTTCACCCTTTAAAGTCCCCCAAATCCAACCCACCTAGGCCCAGACACTGTTCCCACCTTGTAGACACAGCCCAATGAAGGCTGCTGGGGACAGGTGACCACGCTAGTGCCAATGCCGATGACGTCTACCTCACTGCCCTAGGAGGAGAAGTGACACTGAGTCCAGCAGGAACTGCAGGGTCCCAGGATCTTCCCAGGCACCCTGGGCCTGCCTGTCCCTTCCACCCCACCTCCTGGGCCAGTCGGGCCAGCTCCTCTTCGTCAATGTTGTTGCTGACTGCAATGAGGACTGACTCCAGCCAGGGCATTTGGAATCTGCATGCAACGGGATTCAGGGAGCCCCCCCGCCCCCAACATGCCTGATTCATCCTGGTCTCCCATCATCCCTCATCAGCCACACCCACACTTGTTCTTTGCTTAGGAACTCCTGGTGGCCCCACCCCTTGCTTCCCTTTCAGGGTCTTCCCTGTAGCCCCTGAAACCAGCCCAAGGCTATAGGTTTTGGGGAGGAACACCATCTCTCCCAGCCCCTGCCCTATTTCCTGGCTTCCCACAGGGCCTCCTAGCAGGCACACCCCCTGGGGACACTCACTGGGCAGCAACAGTCCGAAAGACCCCTCGGATTTCCTGAGCCTGCTGAAGCAAGTCGCCACTGTCCAGCCTCACGCCCACTGCCCTGTAGCCCAGCTCTCCCAGGGCCAGAGCTACTGCTAGAAAGTTGGGGAGACCACTCCTGCGAGCATAGATAAAGAGGCTGGGGGCTCCAGTTGCTCTGCCAAGCCCATCCCTGGAGGAAAGTCTGGGGCTTACCTCCTCACACTGTAGGAGTCCAGCAGGCCCTGGAAAGCCCGGGGAAAGGCCAGAGCATAGGCCACAAAAGCTGCCCGCTCCCCTGGGTGTGGCTCCTGCACCCCAAGCCCCAGGCAGGCACACACTCGCTCCAACCACAACTTTACACTGGCAGCCAGGTCCACCCCGGGACTCTCACCAACAGCTGGAGCCAACATCTGTGGAGAGGGGACAGTGAAGGATGGACCCAGTGTGCAGGGAGACCTGGGAGTGGCCAATATACTCTGGTCTGAGAGCAAAGGTAATGTTGCCTACGTGCCAGCTTCCTGGGGTGGCCCTGGGGCTAACTGTCCAGGGTGGCACCTACCTGTACGCATGGCTGAACCCAGCCCACCCCATCAAGGGCCAGGGTTAGCCTTGGAGTCTACCCCCTGGAGTAGAGCAAGGTTGAGAAGAGATACTGACTGGGTCGGAAGGCACTTCACAGCCTGAAAATGAAGTGATGAAGGAGTGGGCCAGGGTTCCGGCCACTGGCACACCCCGCAGCTGCCCGGCAAGCACGTTGCTGCTGCTGTCAAACCCTAGGTGAAGGAATTAGGCAGGCTTGGGGGGCAGCAATGGGGGTAGGGGTGGGTGGGACCTCTTCCTCCCCAGGCCTTGCCTTCTCTAGGCCCTCACCACCCAGGTAGCTGTAGGTGGAGGCTGTGAGTCCCCCATCTGGGCCCTGAGCCCTACGAAGGCCCAACTCCAGCAGCCGCTTATCAGGCCCTGCGATCAGGCGAAATCGAGCTGCGTTGGTGGCAACCAGGCTGTGTCAAGAAGACAAAGGACCCAGGGTGACTAGTGAGAAGCTCAACAAGCCAGCAGTTACTTGGGACTTGCAGTGCTAGCCCCAGGCTCCAGGTCCCCCCTCCTCTGCCCCATCCATTTTGGCTAGCCCTGTACAGGGCTTCCCCAAGTCCGGTCACTGTGTCTCACCTGGCATAGCTGATCAGGCAGAGAAGCGGAGTCTCCAGCAGCTGCAGAAGTAGAAGAGGCCCTGACACCTGCAGCAGAGGCACCTGTGGAGAGTGACCAGAAGCAGCCCAACACCTGCAGCAGGGGCACCTGTGGAGAGGCTGGTCCCACCCGCCAACCCCTCGCGCGCAGCCCTCGTCTCCCTCTCAGCCGTCTGGCCCGCACTCACTCCCGGGAAGGCGAGGGAGCCCTCAGGCAGGGCCCGCAAGGTCACTGCAGAGCAATCTAGGGACCGAAGATCCTGGAAGAACGCTGGGTCCGTGTCCCGGGGGAGAACCGAGGCCAGGAACTGCACGTCTGGGACAACAGGGACGCTTGTGTTCGGGGTTTCGCGGGGTCGGGGTCTTATCCCGGTAATGACGAGTAGGGGTCTCTTTGGGCAGGGGAGGAGGGTATGCACTTTTGGCAAGGGATTCTCCTTGGACTGGTCGGAGTCGCAAGGTCTAAAGGGGCACTGTCCTATGAGAGTCGGAAGTCCAATGGGGTTCTCGGAGGTCTTGCGGGGTTGGGGGTCTAATCAGAGTTGCGGAGGGTCTAGTTGGACGCGGGACTCGTGGGAGCGAAACTGTCCTGGGTTCGGCGGGGCTACCTTCGTCCTGCAGGCGGAAGGTGCGCAGGAAGCGCAAGCAGTCGCGCAAACCCGCGGCCAGAGCAAAGGCGCCACCGAACGGGCACCGGCGGAAGAAGAGCTCGAACTCGGCGGGGTCGCGCGCCCGGCCGGCACGCCAGTAGCCCAGTGCCATGGTGGCCTGGTACAGGTCAGTGAGCATCGGCCGGGCTGCCGCGAGCCCCTCGGAGTCCCGCTCGGCAGCCATCTTACAGCGCAGCACCCACGTGACGTGCCCGGGCCAATAACAGCCGCCCTCCAGTTTGAGGGTTAACACCGAGGGGCGGGGACACCCTTCCCGGAAAGGGTAGGTGGGGCGGGCCTTGCGGCCAGCGGCTCCAGTCCAGCTGTGCCTGCTAGAGCTGTTTGTTCTTCTAAGCCCCAGCCCACCGCGGGGCCCACCCCTTTTATCAGAGGCCGGTGCTAAACCCCGAGATAGGCCCTCCAGCTGCCCGTCCTCTCCATGGCCGGGCAGCAAGCTGCAGCTCAGGACTGGCAAGGGATGGGTGAAGAGGGCCTCTTCACCCTGGCTCCTGCCCCAGGCGCTACGGAAGGCAGGCTGGGCTAATGCCCCAACTTTCTCGGAAGAGGCATGCCCCAGATGGGGAGCTGTCCGCTCACTCCTAGTTGACAACAAAAAGCTTGCTTTTTTTCTTTTGCGGTACTGGGGACTGAACAGTGGGCACTCAAACGTGGAGCTGCAGCCTTTTTAAAACAGGGTCTGGTTATACTGCCAAGGTTGGCCTTTAACTTGTGACCTTCCTCAAGCCTCCTGAGTAGCCGGGACTACGGGTGTGTACAACCACACTCAAACCTAAAAGATGTTATGGCTGAAGGCTCAGCTAGTGCTCTAGGGTCGTTGCTTTCACGGTGTCTTGTACTCTAGGTCCTGCAGGAAATCCTTTTACCTTTTTTGGTATTGGAGAGAGAGCCACACGTTAGGTAAGTGCTCTGTCACTGAGCATTACAACATCAGCCCTTTCTAAAAGTAAGGGCAGATAACCTATGGAATGGATAACGATGAGGTGAGCTATATATATAACAAGAGTACTACTCTGCCATAAAGGATGAGCTGGAGACACTTCCAGCTAAAACATACCGCATTATTTTTCTGGTGTGAGAAACCAAAAGTGGAAAGGACTAAACTGTATAATAGACACTGGGAAATGGGAAGGAAATGTTCAAATGAGAAGGGGAACAAGGGAGGGGGGGAGGGGGGAGGGAGAAAGGAAGGAAGGGACAAGAAAAAAAAAGTAAAACCAGAAAGAAAAGAATGGAAACAAAGATTTTCATATAGGGAGGGGAGGAGGGCTTGAGAGGAAGGGGGAATGGGAAAAAAGAAAAAGAGGCAGGATATATCAGATACAGATGAAAATTTCCTAAAGTGTTACCATTATGTATATCTAAAATTACCAATAAATGTTTTGCTAAAAAACAAAAAACAAAACAAAACAACCCAGGGCAGCATTCCATTGTTTTACGGCAAGGGACCCTGAGGATATCAGCTCTGACAGGACCCCAACAGACACTCTCACCCAAATACACCGTCACACCAGCCACATGGGTCATAGTGCGGGAGAAGAACCACCATTGACTATCACTGACCACACGGCGCTGCTGGAGCATGGCTGGCCATATTCTGGCCAGCAAGAGTAGGTCCAGGTATCCAGCAGGTAAGGGCAGGGCCCTCTGGACCCAAGGAGAGTGGACTATATGACCCTATATCATCATTGCAGCTTGGCCAGGACACATGCTGGGAGCAGGGACAGGCATCGAGTGAAGACATGGCAGCCTCTATAGTCATGAGGTTGTTTCTGCCTAAATAGCTTGAAATGAACTTATCACTTGCAACATAAAATGAAGACCAACCGAGGCAGGAGATACAGTGGATGAGATGACATGACCAAGCAAGGCTGTGGGCCCGCTTAACCCACAGGAATGCCAAGCAGGAGTGGCAGTGTAGAGACAGGTACAGGGTGGGACAGGAATGGCTTGGGAGCTGGCAGAGCACTGTCCACCCAGTAACAAGACAGGAGCCAGAGTGCGGAGTCTCAGTTTTTAATATCAGCAGGGCCTCCCTTGCACACATGCATGCCTGGCTTCAGATCTTGTTGAAAGCTGCAATGTCCACACTCTGCACCTGTGGAGGTGGAGGTAGAGGGTGTCAGCAGAGGATGATTTCTCTAAGGCCCACTCCTCCAGTTCTGTGTGGCCAGGATGTGAAGTGGCAGGTGCAAGAGTGGGACCCCAGGGTCAGCCAGTCCCCTATCCCACCGAGTCATACCACACGGCCCACTCACATGCTCCTCAAACTTGGTGATCTCCTCTTCCAGCAAGTCGGTGCCCACTTTGTCGTCCTCTACCACACACTGGATCTGCAGCTTTCGGATGCCGTAACCCACAGGGACCAGCTTAGAGCCACCCCAGAGCAGCCCATCCAGCTGGATAGAGCGCACACAGGCCTCCAGCTTGGCCATGTCTGTCTCGTCATCCCACTGGGAGTTGGGAGTGGGAGAGAGACAGAGCCACCTCAGAGGCCTCCAGGACACTAGAACAAACCCTTCCCACAGACCACTGAAAAGACATAATGCTGCTTCCTTGAAGGGCCCTCAGAAACATTCCAAATTGACATCTGTCCTGCCAAGTTTCTGTTCCTAACTTAATACTCTTTCCTCCCTCCCTCTTCTGATCTTTTGAGATAGGGTCTCACTATGTAGTGCAGGCTGGCCTCAAACTCACTATGTAGCCCAGGATGGCCTCAAAATCACGGTGATCCTCCTGCCTCAGCCTCCTGAGTGCTGGGATTACAGGTGTGTGCCACCACGCCTGGCCCCTAATTTAAGATTTTTAGTAAGTGTCTGGATTTTTGTTTTTTCAGTACTGGGGATTGAACTCAGAACCTTACACTGCAAGGCAGGTGTGGCACCACTGAGCTAAATCCCTGGTCCCCTAACTTAAGATTTTTAAAACCTGATTTCTCACTAGGACCCAGGAGGGCAGGGGGATTGGAAGCTGAGTCTCTCAGTGGGCCACATGGCAACCCCTCCACCCCATGAAACTTATGTGACTCCTGCCCTCCCCAAGGCCTGAGCTGTCTCTAACTCACGGGTTTGACATCCAGGAGGATGGAGGACTTGGCCACCAGCGAGGGCTTCTTGGCCTTCTTTTCTGCATATTGCTTCAGCCTCTCTTCCCGCAGCCGGGCTGCCTCCTTGTCCTCCTCCTCTTCGCTGCCAAACAGGTCAATGTCATTGTCCTCGTCGTCCTCTGCTGGTGTGGCCACCTTCTTGGTTGGGAGCTCCACTTGGCGCATGGGAGACACGTGCTGCCATAGGCGAGGGGAAGCTGAAACCCACCCAGTCCTCTCCCACTATCTAGAGAAGCCCACAGGGACAGATTGTGGTTCCCATGAATAGCCCAAAAGGAAAGAAGCTGTCTGAACCCTGCCCCCAGGCTCAATCTCAGCATCACTGAATCTTCATGGGTCCTAGCTCCTTACTGCTGCTTGGGGGGACCCCACAAGAGGTGGAAGCCAGGGGACCATATTCCTCTGCAGCATCGGGTGGAAGTGCTCACCTGGGTCTGTGGGGCTGTGGCTCGATGGATGGGTGAGCTCTTCTCCAGGGTGCTCAGCCGGGCCTCCAGCCTGGAGATGGCCTGCTGCAGATCCTGCACCACTGTGGGTGCAAGGAGCACAGTGGTCAGAGGGTAGGGGCTGGGCTTCTACCCCGTCTATCAGGCTCAGAGACTCACCACTTCGCAGGTTCTGGTTCTCCACTTCCAAGCTGGCAATCCGGACAACAAGCTCACTGTGGTCTCCACCAGGCCCACTGGAAGTCCCAGGGCCTGAGCTCTGCAAGACAGGGGGAAGGGAGATTCAGAGCCCCAAGGCTGCTTCTAAGTCCCCTCATTTACAGCCATTCAGAAGCACAGCCTACTCCCCCCAGCAGGTACCCTTGCTATGCTCAGGACTGCTGGAGACTCAACTCAGGAAGGAAGATGGTGAGGGAAGGCAGGAGGCCCTCCTGCTAAGGCCCAGCCCATCGTAACAGTGGTGAAGACTTACTGACTTCAAGGAGGGTGGCCACACAGACTGTAGCCACAATTTCAGCCAAGCAGAGAACACGGGACAAAAAGCAAGGAGAGCCCAGGGCAACCCAAACACAGAGGCAGCGTGCAGCAGGACTTACAGTCCCAGAGGCAGCCTGGCTCATGGCCTCAGAGGGGTCAGGCAACACCTCCTTGAGCTGGAAACAGGAAGGGAGAGCAGTTGAGGGGCAAGTGGTGGAAGGAGCTGACAAGCAATGCCTAGCTTCCCCTGGGCTTAGCACCTACCATTTGGCTCCCAAGCTAGCTGTTGATGGTTCTAGGTGACCATCAGCACACTCTGCTTTCAAGGCCAGCCCAGGCTCCTAGCCCATCTAGACATTATAGTCTTTAGGGATGATTTTATGTGTTGTTTGGCTGAGGACAGTGTTCACTTGGATGCACAGAGGTCACAGACCAAACCTGTCTGGCATGCTAAGCCAGGGCTTCCTCTGCAGATGGGGTCTTAGCACCTGCTCAGCCAAAGAATTCACTCTTTGCAGCAGGCACCAGGCCTTTTCCTACTGTGTGGCATATTGGCTTCAGGCCTGGGGACCTCCTGTCCTGTCACAGCCCTTGTAACAACACTGAGTATCCCACCTTGTTTATGTGTCTGGGTGACTTTCTAGGGCAGGGAGAAGGACTTTGCCCCAGAGCTGGAGTTAGAAGCAGCTAAGCAATGGAGCCTGGGGCCTCGCCCATCCCACAGCAGGCCTGGGGACAAGGAAAGGTCCCCTCTGGATGAGGCGTAAGTCATCAAGGGACCTGAGAAGGGTCTCACTTCCAAGTCTCCAAATGGCCAGGACTGGCCCAACATAGCCAGGGCAAGAATAATTCCTGTAGCTCCAAGGGTCACAAAGCTCACAGCTCACCCTGGCTCTGGGCACTGGAACTTGGCCAGAGAAAGGATGGCAGAGAAGCCAAAGGAACTGACAAAGATGATAGCGGGGTCTAAGGACTTAGCTCAGTGGTGCCCCGCCTGCCTCACAAGCGAAAGGTCCTAAGTTTGATCCCCAGTACCTAAATAAATAAATAAATAAATAAATAAAAGATAGTGGGCAGTGCTAGGCACTTCCTGGCCCCAGGGGCACCCTACACAAAAGCTTCAAACCCAACCAGGCATGGTGGCACATGCCCATAATCCCAGCTACTTGGGAGGCTG